GGCTAATGAAAGGCTATGTTTCAAGTTTTGCCACTGTGCAAGAGCAGAAGCAGCATAGACGTTTTGGACATAGATTCTAAGCATGAGGGAATCCATAATTAGCTTGTGTTGGCTGTTCCTCTGGGTCAGATGCACCTCTTTACCTCTTCAGGGCACTGCCTGACACAAGGAGGAGGAGGTGACACCTACCCCATAGCTTCCCATAAATCAGTAGATCTAGCCTACTCTTGGGTGAGGAGAAGGCACCTGTAGCTATCTGGTTCATAAAATCTTCCTTCTAATGTTGGTTCTTTTTTCGTGAGGTATATCCCTAAGGAAAAAGCCAACCTTCCAAAGGATTACACGCTCCAAATCCCTTTAACGTTTCTATAGGTAATCTGCAGCAGCCCTAGAGATGATTTAACAAAGAAACCGTAAGTTACTACTTGGTACCAGAAGCTCACACTGGCTTGCAGATGTTGACACAGGAAGCAGCTGCTGCACCCATCCTCAAAAGAGGTGAAACCTTACTTTCGAGTTGGGTGCAAAGAGGGAAACAGAAGGGATGGGGAAATGAGAAAGATGGGGAAAATGCAAGGGGTGGGGATAAGGAAATATCCCATCGACACTCAAATGACAACCATAGTAACTGCACCGGGGACAGAGCAGGTAACTCCCCTGCTGCAAAAAGGGGAGAAAAGGAAACAATGGAGCAACAATCATTTCTAGGTGGAATTTGTATAAACTATCATTTCACAGACTTGTTAAGCATCTTCCATTCTTAACATTTGAGATTACATTCACTGGGTGAATAAGTCCAAGAGGCTGGCTTGCCTGGAGGGGCAGTTCTGCTGACATTCTTGCTTACTTTTGGGTGAAATTAAGTGGAGTTTCCCTTGGCTGCTGTGCAGTGTTGTGGCCTTTCTCCCATGCTGAGATTCCATGAGTCAGATGCAGATGGCAGGATCAGGCCAAGTTTTTCAGCCAGAGCTAGCAGAAGATGTTCAGAGTGGGAGAGAGGCCACAGCACTGCAATTCCCAAAAGTTATGGTCTTACCTGTAGGGAAGCATGAAATAGGAATTGATTTGGAGAAATCCCATGGTGAAGCCTGATACTCAAGAAACGACTCCCGCCATGACATATTTTATGTTGGATCTTTTTGCTCCGAGCTCCACATGCAACCCCTCATCTTGGCAGCTCTTTCAGCAGAACCAAGAGACAATGTGCCCCCATCCAGCCCACCCTGTCCTCTCTAGATCACACAAAGAGCATTTTTTGAACAGCGTTAGGACTTTATTTACTCCAGGCAAGGACACGTCTCTCTCCAACCCAAAGAACACCACATCGCTGGCAGCTTTGGTGAAGCCTGCAGCTGAGGACTGGGAATTCAGATGTGAGTTATTAAACAAGCACAATACCAATCTCATATTATGATGATGATGATGATAACATGGTACCTTTTCCTTCCTTCTGACATCTCTTTCTTTGTACAATACATTTTCTGCTCTCGCTTGTAGCTGGGCAAGGATTGCCCTTTGCTGACGGATGCTGTACGATCTCTCTGACCCTTACTTCATTTCCTCTTTTGAAACCACATGTTTTTCCTTTCTTTGTGCAAGGGCTCCATGGACTCCACTCACTAGCTTCACAGTGCACTGCAACAAACATAGGACAAGCTGAGCCTGGCCAATATCTTTTTGAATACACAATGCATATGGTACATTAATTTTATTCTGCATCAGCCAAAAGGTGGTGAAAATTAATGTAATTAATCCAGATTTGCAGCAGTCAATTGACAGAAATTGGGCTGCTGAGGATACACTGCACAAAATAATGTCAAACAATTATGTCAGTTACTATTTTGTACTGGGTGTTTCGTAATTCCATTCCTGAAACGGAGCAACAACAACACAATTGGTCTCAATGAAATCAGTTACTAGGGCTTGTTTTGAGGTTGCTTTGGTTTTGTGGAGGTATAAATCCGTGTAGCTTCAGTGGAATTAAACTTTGGTCATGCCTATGTGAAAGAAGAGTGAAGTCATTGGGTCAAGCTGCTGCAGCTGGTCTCAGAGGTATTGAATTTGGAAATCAATGGAGTTATAAAGGACCAACTGATATCAAAAGGCATTACATTAAGAATCAAGTATCTTTGGTGATCTACTGCTTGGTATTCAGCTTAAATAGTGAAAGAGCCATCATCTATAGCATGTTCAAACTGTAAGCAGGCAAAGCAGAGGAGAATTTGGGTCAGGGCGTGTAAGCTTTTCAGAGAAGTGGAGGTCACAGTTTCTAAATCACAGTCATCTGAATGCACATCCCGTACTACTGGGAACTCAAAAGGTCTGCAGCTGGACACTTGTCCAAACAGCGTAGACAAAAATGGGAGTAACCTTGGAAGCTTAACAACATGCTCTTTCTAACTATCCTTTGGTGCCATCTCCTCAGTATCCTTCTCTGGATAAAGGACAATAAACATTTTTATTTACTTTATGGTCACATGCGTGCTCAAGACTATAAACCACCTCTCAAGAAGGAAAGATTTCCAGCCCCTCTATAAGGAGGAATTTGTAAGTCAACATTTTTCCAGCTCCAGAATTTACTTCCAAATTTTTCAAAACCTAAAAATATAACTGACCTCAGGCAATCTCTAAGCCTTCCTCTGGTGAATTATCATATGGGTCATTTTGGTTTTTCATATTACACTGGCGCTCTCTGTTAAAATAATTGGCTTTCACGTGCACAAAAAGGTTCTGTTTTTCCTCCGTAGCTTTAAATGGCTTTTCCTATTTGAGACTGACTCACTCTTAAAGCAGCTAAGTCTACAGCACTTGGAAACAGCCACCAAGAAACAAAAATGATCCCTCAAATTTCTTTCAAAGATTAATCTCTTTGCTTGAAAATAAAATGGTAAAAAGCATCATTACCATTGGAACTAATACGTATTTGAGAAGGAAAACGCCAAACTACTATACATTGGTTTTAATCCTGCGTTACTTCCCATCCAAAACACATGATGCCAGGGAGAGCTATGCGCATGATACTGTGGGGGAGGAGTTTTCCACCATGGCCAGTTTGTGCCTAAGTGCTCCCTGGTTGCTGGTGGCTGAAAAGGTTACATCTTCCACCACAGTTCACAGCCCTCAGCCACCACAATTCACAGCCAACGTACTAAAATAAGCTGAACCTTGCCGCAGCTTTGGCATGCCCATGGGAGGGGATGTCAACTGCAGCAGCGTGGAGGCCAATGTATCACTCCTTCTGCTTTCAGCTAGAAGGGTGGCAGAAGGATAGAGCAGACAGTTAGGTGTGGTGACCTCCAAAATTGCCCCAGCATGAATAGTTGGAGCTTGTGAGTCAGAGGCTGGAGAGATACAAAAGCAGGTCTCTTCTCCACAGCCAATGAATCACAGAAGCAGTGTCACCAATCTCATTCCTTCAGTGGCGGTGCCACACTGTTTGTTGTTTTATTTTAATCCTCAGTTTCTGGAGTCAGGTGATTATGCACATATACTGTTTTGGCTTTTTGTGGTTTTTTTCCTTAATGTTTTAGTTCCTAGCCTTCACCTTTGTGAAGGCAAGCTTCAAAATGTTGACACACGCATGCTTTGAAGGCTCAGGTAGTAAAAGGGAGCTAAAGCAAAGCAATTAGTATTTTAATATATCACCTACATGTAGGGTTTGGCTTATGATTTTTTAACCTTTGACCTCAGTGGTGCTGCATAACACTGTAACAAAGCAAGCAGGAGATGGATGTCATTCTACCTCAGAGAAGACCAAACAGGCCTCATTTCCTGAGGCAGAATTGCCCTTACCGTCAAGACTGTGTTTGTGGGGCACAACCAAGCTTGTGCCTCCTGTGAAAAGGCAGGCTTGGGAACTACCTTGATTTTGTTGTGCTGGGGAATATATCTTGTGATGCAGAACATTTCCATTTTATGTTGCACTTCCCTTCTAATGTAGCTAATCTCACAACTCATGCCCTCCTTAGATCCCCCACCCCATGTGAGAAAACCAGGCAGGGCACAAGGTGACCAGACTTACCAATGCTAGTGCACTCCATCGTGTGATTGTTGGCTTCCAGCCCATCAGGGCACTTTTCAAGGCACTTCCCACTGAATAAGTAAAACCCACTTTTACATTTTGTACAGAAGTTTCTGGTGAAGCAGGTATCACAATCAGCTTTACATTCTGAAATGCAAACAGTAAACAATGTTGTTGCTCTTTGCCACAAAAGGCTGTGGGCTCTTTTGCGTATACCAAAATCACACAATTCTATCAATGTTAAACAATCTTCAAAGGAAGCAAATTATATTTAGATCTTCTTTGTGGCCTGTATGCACAGTGAGGCCAGACAGCTACAGGTGACCTTGACATGAGTGAGGATCTAATAAGGATGGCCTGATGCTGAACAGCCTCACACTGCTTGTCTTCTTGCAGACCTATGCAAACAGAAGACAGAGCACAGCACATGAGAATAACAATATACTGCTTCTGCCCTAGACTGACACGGCACAGGTACTGATTAACCCCACAGGGCACAGGTAAGGGGCCGGTTCCATGCTATCTATCTCTATTCATCCAGGAGAAATAAAAATATGCCAGAATTTAGAATCTGCTTAAGATTTTCGCATCAGTGTGGTTTTTTTCTTGTAAATGTCTCCCTGATGTTCAGTCAGATGTCCTGTCGTATTTCATGTATTCTTTATATGACTCCTCAAATTGACATTAGGGATATATTCCCAGTTCTCAGATATTTTTAAAAGAAATACATAAAAACTTGTGCATGGCACAGCTCATGTCTGATATGCAAGACCACACACTGTTAAAAATTTAGCAAATACTTTACAGTTTCAAGTTACTCTGTAAGACTTTACTCTGGGGTCTGTTCATTAAATAACTTTTATTACCAGGTGGAAAGTGGGAGAGTTGCTTGGCCGTTGCTCTTATGTTTTTTATCACCTGTGGGATTAAAAACAGTGAATTCAACAACAAAAATAGGAGTGGGGAGGACATTGTGATCTTTTCCAGTTCATTTATGGTTCAAAATACACAGTGGGGTCAAAATGTTGCCTGAGTGGTGAAGGATAGAGTTGGGTTCTCTGTCTCCCAGCCCGGAGGAAACATGAATGGGTGACTTTCCCCAAACAAGGCTGGAACCTGGCCAGCTGCTACAGGCATTGAGAGGACTGCACTGAGTGTGAGACAAGCTACAAAGAGAACAGGGCAAACCACATCTCCGGAGAATGCCACCTGCCATCTTCTTCTCCTTGTTGCAAGGGTCAGGCACGTAAGGGCAGTGGGTTAAGTGGCCCCAGCCACCAAGATTCAGAGTCCCTTGGCCCTCGCTCTTTGGAGCTGCCACCGCAGCCTCGTGCTGCCAGAGGGCAGTGCCTGGCACCCATCAGTACTTCCCTTTCACATGGGATTGTAGAGGAGTAGACCGTCACCTGCCTCCTAGGCAGGTCATTCATGCGGAACTAGGATCCCTGAGCTTTAAGTCGTTTTGTGATCTTTCACCTTAACTTCTTGCTTGGGTTAGTATTTACTGCGCTACTGTAAAAGAACTGAACAAGAAAAGGCATGGCCTGTCTGTCTGCTTCTCCGTTGGCTTGACTCCTAAGGGGACACAGCATTCAAGAGAGAACAAACAAATCCATGTGCTTCCCTTTTCCCCAGCACTTACTTGCACACTTATTAATGTCGGGATACCGTGTCCCATAGTATCCGCTTGGACACGAAGAAAGACATACTCCGATCTGTTTCATGCCAATCCTCTCCAGAACAAAAAAGAGCCTGGGCTTACATGACAGGCATCCGTTGTAGTCAGAACATGTAGCACACCCTCCTTGGCAACCCTGGCTCACGTTAGGATGCACTGAGAAGACAAGCATTAAAAAAAAAAGTGGTAAGAGAACAAGGCATTAGACAAGACCATGAAATAATGGTTCCTCTGTAGTTGGAAGGGTGGACCATCCATCTCTCTGACAGCTCTTAAAGATTGCTTCATTTTTTCTTGTGTCTTTTATGACGTGACGTTTCATTTCAGCGATTATTTCATCCACATAAAAATGAGAAGTTCAGCTGATGTGCTCACATCTTGCAGAAGTAGCTAACAGTAAGATATATTTGAAATAGGTTTTGTGAAACAGCAGCATCCTAGAGAATAGTTATTTTTCTTTTATTTATTTTCAGTGGTGTTTCTGCCTTGTGTGCACTTGCCTCAGCAGATAAATACATGTTCACTTATCTTCGCTTTTCCTAGCTGAATGATTAAAAATCAACCTAGTGTGTAATTTCCTTCACTGACTAAATGCCATTTGATTGAGTTATGCTGTGCAGGAATATGCCTTTGTAAATCCTGATGCTAATTTGCCTTAATAAAAAGACATGGGAGACCCATCCTTCTCACCCTCCTCCTTTCCCTGGAATGTTCTCTCTGGCATGTTTTTAATCTCTAACAATTAGGACCTGATGTTCAGGCTTAACTGTGGCATTTACTCTGCTCCAGTCCCAGCGTGGAGTATAGGTAGGATTATATTTGCTTTTCAGTTGAATTGTTCTAATTCTTCAGACAAGGAGAGGAAAACTTATTACACTCGCTGTTTAAGACTGTTCAGTTCCTCTTTAGGGGCTTAAGGGTAGCAGAAAAGAGGATACTATTACAGACTATCTTTTCAGCGGACATTAATCAGCCTATTACTTCTCAGTGATAGAAAGTAAGGTTTTACATCTTCCTGTACTTCAGAAGTTGTTACTTATTTTTAATTCTTTCTTGGTTGCATTCTTAAATAGGAGTTGGATCGGAAAAAATCATTAAGCATCAAACAGGTCCAGAACTTGTGTCCTCTTCTTTTTGGCCTTGTCTAGTAGGAAAATCCCAGGCATTTTTCTAAGTGTAAACTTTCATCTCTCAACCTGAGACATCTGCTTATACTTCATACGGAAGAGAAATTCACTCTTCATTTGCATTTGTAAAATCTATTTGAAAATGTAATTGTCTTCCTGTTCTACAATCTCCTCAAGCCAATGATAATTTTATGAATATGCATGTGCCATATTTTTAGTTTTATTTTTATCTGCAGACACAATGAACTTGCTTTTGTCAGCTCCCTTCTGTGGATGCCTTAGAGGATCATAACCCATGGCTTACAGGTTGAAAGCCACCACTCTCTGCTAGCTCGGGGGAGTTTATCTGGTGGCAGGGAAGTTCAGAAACACCTTTGTACTTTGTTCACCTAGAATTTTGGCAGAAGACACATGGCCCGTGAATGAGAAAAGCAATCCTCTGTGCTCTGAGGTTTCGATGACCAGTCCCGCAATCTGAGAAACCTCAAAGGGAGCTCAATTTCACTTTTTTTCTTTCATTAATAGGGTGAGGGTTAGTATTCTCGGTGGGGCTGAACACGTAGGAGAAGAACAAACTTTGGCCCTGCTGCAGGCAAACATTTTCAAGGATAATATAAGGACCCAATTCTCTGTACTCCGCAAGGCACTCACTTTGTAGAATCACCTGGAAGAAAGTGTTTTTACCATCAGGACACACCACTACGGTAAGAATAAATGTCATTCTGCACAGTGAGAAGCTCCAACTCCAATTAAGTTATCTGATTTGCTTTCACCAGACTCTCAAAATCAAACATGCTAAATAAATACAGCATATTTTTTTCAGAGAAGATTCCAAAGATAGAGAGAGTATTGATTTTGGAATTAAGAGCCTGAAAAATTTGCTTTCTTTTTAACATTATGTAAATGAAGATGTCCTCTCTCTCCCCTGTATTGTGGCTCTTGTACAAAACTAGTTTCAAAGACAGACATAGTAATGTGTTCTACGAAGCTGACATTATTTAAAAATTATCCATGACTTTCCTTCATTAAGGCTGACAGAGGGAAAAAAAGCATCTAAAGTACAAAACATTTGTCAACAAAGCTGCTATATAAAATATGGATGGTCAGTTTTGATGGGAAATATATTATATGTGAGTACCTGTGACATGTCATTATGAATATATTATCTTGACAGATAAATCATTATGTGCAACTGCTCTAAGGTCAAGCTGTGTATGTGAGCCCTTGAGACAGATGATACTTTATTACCGAAAGATGATAATTCTCTATAGCTAAGATCCATTACATGTCCAATTTCTATCTTCCCTTTAACTACAGAAGTATTAAGTATAAAATAAAATGTACTCCTAGCCATTTTCACAATTTCTGCCTCCTTTCATGCATCCCGTATACACCTCATACAAATAACATGCCAAAAAAAGAAAAACTTGTAGTTCCAAATGGAGAATTTTATTGTTAGTATTACAGTGCAAGAAATAAGGTAAGATATGTAAGTCAAGCTCCATTTAAAGGCTGATTTTGTGCCATGTTATAACTCGTTGTGTGAAGCAAAACAAGCTCCTATTCTTGGAAATGCATAAAGCAAAAGTCTCATTGAAAAGTCACAATTGACATTTTACATTAAGAAAGACATTGTTTTTCTCTTAGAAGTTGTTAAAGGGATCCTTTTTTTGACTATCTCCTATTGTGCCTGCCATTTCCTAGAATGCTGTATCTGTATAATGAAGCTGTTTCTCATTACACTTGCTCTGAATGCTAGGTAGACCCTTATTCTGGCTCTGGCAAGAAGCAAAGCAGGGACAGGTGAGTGCTCCAGAAATTGTTACTCTTTAAAAGCACAGCACTGGGCTTTATAATTGAGCCTGAGGGAAAATAAAGAGAGATGGAAAAATATTTGTGCCTAGCAAAAGAGCGTGCTTGAAATAAGACATCTCCAAGCTCCAGCTGAAGATCTCGTTCTCACTACCTCTCAGCCTCCTCCGCCTCTACTCAGACCCAGGCATTTGACAGATCCCTGCAATGTAGGGGCCAGTCCCGCCTCTCCTGTGGAGGCCAAGTGGGTTCAAAGGGATTCCAGAAGGAAAAGGGGCAAACTCAGTCTCTGAAACATCTTTACTGCTGCTGGGTGCAGAACTGGCCCTTCCTATTCCTCTCCCATTGCAGCAAGGTGTTAGCGCCTGCAGATCTCGAGCAGTTCAGCATTCACCATAACCATGATGAAGCAAGACAATTTCTACCCCTTTTCCTCCCCCCAAATCAGACACTGTGAGTTCAGAGTTTAAGTGATGTGCTGCAATGAGCTGGGAACATAAACCCTATCTAGTGAAACCCAGTCATTATACACTTGGTGTAAGCATTGCTTCAAATTTCTGTACTTAGGTCAACAGCAGAAATTGGTAAGTAACGCATATCCACTTTAAGAAGTGCAAGCTCATGACTGACTTTAGGTCTAAAACCCATTCCTCCATTTTTATTTGTATGAATCCTAAATACTGGAGATCAGAGAAGATACCAAGTTAATCTTGGACTATTCTCTTCCCTTGCTGCACTCTGAGCCTTTTTTGTCTTGGAGCCCTATTTTTGTGCAAGTTATTTATCCAGATAATAGTTTTAAACCTCATTTGCAAATGAAATCACTGGGGATTTTCCTTTCTCAGAATATTTTCCAAAGCCTTGCTCTGGAAACAATGAGTTGTGGTCTCTCTGTTGAAAATAGGAAGTTTGGGACAAAGAACTGAATTTGTATCTGAACTTTCAGTGATGAAAGGGTAGGAGATTTTTCAGCAAAAAAATTCTAAAACATTTGCAATGAAATTTTTCAATCAGTTTTGATTCATATATAGGGTAAAATTTATGATATTAAAAAAAGAAAGAAAAGAAAATACTCTAGGTAGAAGAATATTGTTTGCCCATTTGCTACAGCTGAGGTACACTGTCTCATCACCGATCTTCCGCAGCAAGATGTACATTTAGAGGCTTACTCCTGAAATGGATGTCCTAGACAGATGAAATCTATCCCTACTAGAGTGCTTCTGCTACTCCAGGTTTCTTGGGCCTATGTGTTCTCACAGGAAAAATTTTCACAGCAGAGCTGCTCTAGAATTCAGCCTTCCTAGTTGGGTTGCCCCTTGCCATGAGACCCAGTTCCTGCCTTGGCTTTAACCAGCATGACACCTGCACAGACACTAGCCCTTGTGGTAGGGGGAATTTGGGATGGGATATTCCACAGGTTCTCCTACCATTTGATCACCCCGTGTATTCTCCAGTGTTCATTTCTCTCTCATGCGCCTAGAGAGAAGCAGATGCCTGTGGCAGCAGCCTCAAAACAATACTTCATGTAAAGCAGAGCAACTCTTAATCATGCGGCCTGTCCTTTAGGCAAACAAAAACAACATTTGGCAGGGAACTCTTATAATGAGAAAGTCATTAAGGAATTCAGTTTGCAAACCACAGTGTGTTTCCTCAGACTCTTTCTTGGACAGTGTTTCTCTGCTTGGACAATGGTGGAGCAAAAACACTGAACCAAGGTTTAGGCAACATGGAGTGCAGAGCAAGGAGAGAGCCCAGGAGTGGTAGGGCAGCACTGAGAGAGAAAGTAGACATGGGTTTGATAATTTTATTTTGTCCCTGATAAATAGATTGCCAGCCTAGATCAAAATGAAACGTGATTTCAAGCTCTGCTTGATCTCTTGGCCTTAAATCACCGGCAGGGAGGCAAGGGACTTGATGTGTCATGATGAGGCAGCAGCTGGGCACGACAGGAAAAAAAAATCTCTGTACACAGCAATTGCTGCTTTGGATTGGCTGTACATTCTCTGTGATGCAAATGAACCAGTAGTGATAACTGGGGAATGCAGACTCTTCATCCAGCCTCTCCTGGATCTACAGGAATCTGAGGAGGCCTTGAAAGGAGAGGCAGATGCAGCAGGAGCGAAGAGGAAAAATCAATCTAAAAGTCAACTGTTAAAGGCTTAAAGTCTTCTATTTCTCTCTGTGATTTGTACTTCACTTTGAGATTTCTTTCTAAGA